CTAACACAAAATTAACACAAAGAATGCAAATTCCTATAGAAATTTAGAACCGGGTGCTAGCAATATATTTCATCATACGATTCAACTTTATAATGGATTATTGTAAATTCTTGATAATTTTTAAAAAATTTGAAATTCATTCATAATTCTTTGAACTTTTGACTGAAATGCAGCTAAAATTTTTGCACGTTTTCTAGGTTATTTGCATTATAATGTGACTAAACCAATATGTTAATTTTTTTTATATGATTAATTTTCTTATACACAAACTAATATTGAAATGTAATTTCATATAATATAAATGAATAGAAAAAAAAATTCAATAAATTTTTAATAAATAACTTTCACTGACCATAAAGGTTAAAAAATTTTATAGAAAATTAAATTTTCTTCTAATGTTTGAGCTACAGAGTTGCGCTATAGTGCAAGAGAAAGAAATCAATTTTATTTATTTTTAAATTCATTTGAAAAAGAAAGAAAAATAAAATCTTTTCTTATACAAAAATACGATAAAATGCCGAGCAACATATACGATATTTTCATCTTTAACTATAGAAAACTTCGAATATATAGCAACGGAGAAGAAAAAAATATTTAAATTGATTACAAGCTAAAAATGCAAATTTTTATTTTCATTACTTGATAATTTTTAAATATACTGGTATATTTGATTGCGTATTGAAAGTCCAATAATTTAATCAAAAAAACTCAAAATAGAAACAAAAAAATTTGTTATTTTTGTTGTACAAATTGTACAACCCCGCAAGCCATTTCTAAATAGTTGTTGCTGCAACAACATCCAACAACATAATATAAAAAAAAAAGAAAAAACGAAAAAAAATAACATGAAAACAAGAAATTTTACAACATTTTTTTTTTCGCAATAGCAGCATTAATAACTTTTGAGAATAACATTTTTTCAACCGGTATTGAATTCATATACCTACACAGTTAAGTTTTAAGCCACTACAGTAATAATTTTCATTAGTGTTATCAATTGATTAAAAGTTATAGTAAATTTACTGCAATTACAGTTTTATAAATTTACGATAATAGTAAACTGTTAAATATTTTAATTTTTAAATAAGAAAAGAGAGATGTTATGGAGAGAATTACTCCTTTCATCTGCATTTGTGTTTTTTACGAAAACTTTCCATTCGATTATTTATAACAATATTTAGTAATCGTACTTGACATTCGATTGTAGTTTAGCTGTGATCTTGTTCATGACAACGTTTGCAATATTATTCAAATTGTTAATTTATTACAAATTGATTGTGATGTAACTGTTTTCATTAAACTTATAAACAGATTAATGAGTGAGATTAATAAGAAAAATTATTTCCAAATCAAAACAGTATCAAAATATTAGGTAATTAAATGTAGTAATCAATTCGGAAATCCAGATCAGCTCGAAAGATATACTAGATTTTTCAAGGGTAGAAAAAAATAGTCAAAACAACAAAAGGTAGCTTAATTGTGACATCCAATTGCAAATGATACATATTGTATGTCTACGGTAACACTTATAATGACTAAGAAATTGAAACTTGTGATTTAAAAATTGAATGTGTTACCATTAAGATTAATATTTTTAAAATTTCTAAGTTTCTAAAGTTTAAAAAATTTTAAGTTTGAAATAAACAATTTATTTGAGTTTATTTAAGTAAATATTAGCCTTGAATTGTATAGTAGGTACTCCAATATTTTGATCTCAACTATGCTTCAATTTATTTTTTATTTATCTATACAAATATATGTACATATATTTTTATTGTAGTTGGAAATACTTTAAAGGTAGTTGCAAAGTTAAAGTAGGTAACCAATATCACGATAATTTCGTGTAATGTTATAAATTTTTTTTTAATTTTCTGTCTTTTTTCTGAAATATTTTTTGACCATATTTTTTTCATAAATAAAATGATCTATTAACCTAAGAAAATTTTCAATTTTATTTGTACTAGCTATTACCAATTTAAAAAAAATAGAAAACAAAAATATTTTGGTACAAGTACCTAGAAAAATTCCATGAGAATTAAAATCTTATAATTTTTGCTTTTGTGCACTGGAATTTACAAATAAAAAATGAAAAAAATCAAATTTTTTTATAAAATGCAAGTGGGGGGGCTCAACAAAACTAGTTTTCTTTATGTAGTTTAATATTATACAAAGTATGGTAAAATAGTAAAAAGTATAAAGACAATATTAAATGGTATTGATCAAGGTTATAAAATAGTAGTTACCTTTATTGAAAATTTGATTAAAGATTAAAATTCAATACTACTCGTATTTTTTATTCGATTCATTTTATGTGAATATAATTGATAAATTGTAATTAAAGAAATCTGATAGAATTTTTTAAAATTTGAATTTTTGAGTAATTCTATAATTAATTAAAAAAAGTGATTATTGAAATTCTGCAGAGGTGAATTTTATGCGAATAAGATGACATTTTAAAAGATATTATAAAATATAGTATATTATAATGGTTACAATATAACCTTTAAATAAATGCAAAAAAACATAATAATCAGTTGCGTTGGCAACATTTACTGGAATATATGATGTTTCACGTTGGACTTTATGGCCAACATCAGTTGCACGTATTTAATATACTGTCTCAAAATAAAATAAATTTAATTGACTGAAATTTAATTGTTTATTAATTACTTCTTAAATTACTTTGTAACTTAAGCAATATGAGCATTGTTCAATACTGTGTTACCCAATAAGGTATACATACTTATAAATTTAATTTGCTCAAAATCATGTACTCATTACATATCACTTACTCAATCATACATAAAAAAAAATTCATAATCGATATTGAATTTAAAGTACTTTAACCCCTTCAAAATTTTTAGTAAAAATCCAAAAATATAACAAAACAAAATTCCTTTCTGTTTTTGATCTAAGATAAGTGAAGAAAAACATTAAAAATGTGAAAAATTTTCTATTACGTTATTTTTTTTACAAACATATTGTTATACTCTTCTGTCTTGTTTCATAATTATTATTTTGCACACATAATAATGATATTTGTGCGCAATGATAAATAAAATAATGAAATAAAATATCGTATATATATAAAATATAAAGAGACCGTATGAAATACTTAGTAAGTACCTACACTACTGATTTCTATTCAATACTATAATCTCGTATGATATTATAATAAGTGTACATCTTTATAAAATTAAAAATCTCAAACGCGATCATTGAATTCTTAAGTAGTTTTATATAAGCTAAAGAAGGAAAGTTAACAGCTGGAATATCAAGATAAAAAAAATAAAGAAAATTTACAAATCATGTAACAAAATTCAAAAAAATCTTTAATTTCTTTTGTATATTGTTTATTACAGTGAAGTCTCCACTATGCAATAATTATAGTTTTTGGTATATATAGTTAGTAATTATTATATGAATGACCCTGCTTACCACTGGTATATATAAACTATAGTCCTGGTGTCTTGATCAGAGTTTACTAAGTAAACTGGGCCTGGAAAAAGAAGGCACTAGCATATTCTGTGGAGAAGATGAGCAAACCTCAGTATACCTTCTGGGAAAGTGTGTTGCTCACAGGGAAAGAATTTAGGGGAGTTTGGTCTCATTGGGGCAGAGTTGCTGTCTTTCGACAAGATGATCGAGCTCATCAGGGCAGTTGGTCTCGAGCGGTCGCTGTAATTCGAAGAAATTCGGTGAAAAAATATTATTTTCGAATATTTAAACAAGTTCACTAGTACAAATGAAATTTATTTCACGAAAACGTCACGTTTAAAATCCTACAAGGCTTCCGAATTAAAAAAATAACCAATCAAATAATAGGGATTTTACTGTATCTACAATGGTATAATATTTAAATATTTCTCTGCAATAACATTATTGATTCAATAGGTACGTACGAAATAAAAAATATTCGTAAATACATATATATGAGCTCTAGTCTAAATAATCGTAATTCATATAAGTAGAGGCGTAAGAAGATTAAAATAAGAAGAAAAATGAATTAATTTTCAAATTTTCAAAATTTTGATTTATTGTTTAATTAGAAAGTTTAAAAAACTTTTTAATTTTAATTTTATTGGAAAAAAATAGCAACATTGTGTCTATTTACATTTGTATGTGGAGCGGTTAGGCACAGCTCTTCTTTTATGCCTCTCTCCTATAAAAGTAAAATTTACTTGTAGGAGATTGCGTGAGAAGTACAAACTAAATGGTGTGCATACGCAAACTAAATTCGAGCCCATTCTCCTACTGCCTCTCTAATCAGACTCTCTTTCATTGATTGTCAGATTTTAAATTTTTAACCGTTAAAGGGTTAAGTCAATAGTAATTGCTGCCATAAGTTTTTATTTAACTTACAAACTAGGGGAGATTTTTTTCTTAAATACTATTGTCATTCTGAAACCATACTAATAATTTACCAAAAAAAATCCTATTAACATTATTTTCAATATACCTTCATTTTCAGTTTTTCCCAAATTTATTTGAACAAAGACTACAAGCACTACAAATGTATTCAAAAGGATTTCCGAATGTCTTGTCATCGATTATTTGTCATTGTCATTTTGATTAAAGCACCATAAAAATAATAATAAAAAAAGTAACAATAAAGAATTTTTCCTTCAATTTGGTTAGTCCATTTTATTTTTGTACATGTTCGGAATTAAAAATTTTTAATAATTATACAATTTATGCATTTTTATTTTACCGAAAACAAAATTTAAAAATTCAACTACCTACTTTAACTTTAAAAATATTTAAAGATTTTTGATTAGCTGTAAAGGTAAAATAAAAATTAACTGTTATATAAAAAATCAAAAAATTTTATTCCACACATATACTTTATATGTGTTTATATAAATAAATAAATGTCTGATTAAAATTCGTGACGCGCACACTTAAATAGCAAAAGGGAGAAACTGAAATTTTTCTTAAAATTTAAAATATAGTTAAAAAAATATTTTGTACTTGATAATTCAATATACATTTGAACTTACCATTGGGACATGAAAATAAATCCTGAAATGAAAACAAAAAGAAAATTTAGTAAATTTGAAATTAAAAAGTAGTTATGTATTTGTCAGTTAGGTGCACAAATGAGTTTATAAGTAATTCGTGCGACTTCTAAACACCTAATGCAATAATAACTGCGTTCAGTTAGTGTCATGCAGTTCACATGATACTTGTCAAAATATTGAATTCTAATTAAAAAACTTGTTTATTTTAAAACTCACAATTATGTGACAAATAATATATAGTCACAAAAAGAAATTATCTTGCTCGTTAAAATAACAACTTATTTATAAATATTGTTCATTAAAATTCCCTAAATGTGCCACCAAATTTTGCACTTAATTTGAATTAATATGAACCAAATGACATTTTTGAAAATTATATCTGAAAACTGCTTTATAACTTTTTTGTACACTACCAGAATAACCAATTCTTTTTTTGTATGCTTTTTCGCTTATCCGGATATCGCTTACAAAACAACGATAATACAACCGATTATGTTTTTTGAATTATTGAAGTATAATCTTATATAGAAATGACATTTAAAATTATTATTTCAAATTAGGAAATAAACAAAACATAAAAAGAACATAAATATGTTGAAAGACAATACTTGCACTAACTTTACATGTTGATGCAGTCATATGTATATGTCAAATATGCAAATGTAGTATAATAGTACAGTATCAAAATTGTAGATGCGTGTGATAAATAATGTGATAAATAGGTTTGCATAAATGACATTTAATTGTCATTACTATTCATTTCATAGTTATTAACAAAATTCCGAAATATTTAATGGTTTTTATCATAAAAATCTTTTTTAAATTTAATTTTCTTTATTTAAAAATTAAATAAAACGGTTGATTGTGGGTAGATAGAGTACGACACATGTATATATATAAAATATTGTGAATTTTATTGTGCGGCGGAATATTATCTATTTGATAGATTTAAGATTTTAAATCTATCAACCAGATATTGGGGGAAAAACTGATATTAAGAGTCCCCAGCGTGGCACCGATTTTCGGGTAAGCTGTAAGTGAAATAAATATTTTTCTAAAATAGTAACCACTGGTTAGCTAGTTACTAATTCAATGTATAATTTAATGTATATGATTCTAATTACATATTCCATCAGAAATTATATTAAAAAAATCAGACAATTAAAAATAAAAGAATTTATAAAAAAAAACAAAATATAAATAATTAAAACTTACCTCTGATAAAACCCCAGATAAAATTGCGGACAGCCAAATAAGTGTGGCCGCCCTTATCCTCCCCATTTCTTTATTTTATATTAAAAAATTTCTTCTATACAAAAAAGCCAGTCAACTGAAACAAAAGTAAATAAATAAAATAAAAATATTAGAAAATAATTATTCAACTGTTTTATATACTTAAAATCAAAATTTAAACTTACATAATTTAATTATATATGTATGTATGTATAAAAATGTAGGTATGTTATATGGATGCGTTATAAATTCATTTCCTAAACACTAACCTTATAACCCGTATGCAATAATAAACACGTACATTATTAAATGTATAATATAAAAAATTATAATATAAAATAAAAAATACAAAAATACTAAATCAAATATTACGAGAAAAATTAAATTTATTTGATTAGAGCAATTTTATAAATGTACAAACATATATTTACAGTATAAAAATTTTTATGTAGGTATATACGTATATGCTTGCACTCAAATGTATATGAACATGTGCGGCACATTAAATAAAAACACAGAAGAAGTTCATTAGCACCGATTTCTTATAATATGCAGAGAAGTTAAAAAAATTATTCCGCTAAAATACCGTAATCGAGGAAACCATTAGACCAATAACACCTCTATTTAGCGTTTTTCATTGATTTCATGTTTTACAAGTGAAGAAGAAAATTATTTTTACATTTTCTTTTTTATATTTTATAATATTTTAAAAAAGAAGTTAAAAAATTGAGGTAATAAAAGAATAGAAAAGTTTTTTTTTCTCATTTTTTTTTTTTGCTGTGTACACGTTCATTCAACAATAACAATTATTTAATCTAAAGATAAGTTCTGTTATGTTAAATGTTATGTTAAATATTCAAGTGGAACGAAATTTAAATACTTAACTAAGTATACGTACATACATATAAATATGGATATGGTTCGAAGCCTACATGAATTTTAGTTGATTAAATGTGTTATACAAATTTGCTTCTCAGTTTATAATGCTTATTAGTTTTTCCAATATTTAGTATCATTTTGTATCTCTCACAAAAATTAATTTAAAACAAATTTTTTAACACTTTTCTGATGGAATTACCTATATGTATAAATGCTCTATATATGCAGTAAACTTGGATGTACCAAATACCAATAGTATCTTATATCGAATGATTTATTTAAAATTCAAACATGTTTGTGTTGAGATCGATGAAAAATATACATTATATATTATTTTGACAGGGTTGTGTAAAGGTAATGATAGCGGCAACATAAACTTAATGTTTCTAAACGCAGGCTATATAGTTTCACTTTTTTTCGACGAAAAATTTTGGGGCATCGATCCAAAATCCGAACTGCAACACGAAAACGATTGTATTTCATTCGACTTCGTATATTCCAAAAGCCGAGGTGCTTAAAATTCAACAACAGTTCATTGATATTCTGAATAATTTTACGACCCTAAGGGTTCGAATGACTAAATTAGATCTAGAATAAGTTCTAGAAAATTATCTAAAATTTAACATTCAAAATTTTTTGTTTATAATTTTGATTTATTTGGCAAAATAAGGTTTCAATGAGTACTTGTGTCTGTCCTTCCAAATATATTATACTCATATACAACATAAGGGCGAATGTAACATAGTCGACTAGTTTCGCTGATATAATTGCTATCCCATAACAATAAATTTGGTAAAAAAAGAAAACTTTTACCGAATAAGCAAACTTAGTTAAAATCATTGTTGCTGGTATGACATTTGGTTAGTAATAAAGAATATTTCCTGTATATTTCTAAATACTTCAGTACAAAAATAAAGCATTTCTTTAATTGTAAAAAATAAACAGTATAACAGTAAAATAAAATTTAATTTATTTGGACTGTTAACTGTTTAGGATTTCTATATTTATATTGTTTTTTTTGTAACAATAGAATTAATAATTATTGTTAAATTAGATTCGCAGTTCTTTTTTTCTTTTATTTATTTTTGTTTTCATACTCAATTTTGTAATTTAATTGTAATTATTCTGAGTCTATATAAGTTAATGACCTACATATTATATTGAATCAAAAAGAGAAAGAAAGAAAGAGAGAAGGAAAAGAATTTATATTTTTTGATAAATAAAATCTTAAATGTTATTTTTTTAAAATCTTATCAGTTACACAGATTTAATAGAGTTTAATTTTAAACAATTACATTACTCTTTATTCTGAAATTAATATTAGTTATAGTTGAGATTAAATAGAAAAAGTTTTTGATTATTATAATCACAATTAAAAGACTTATTCACATGCAAAATTGTTACCTAAAAGTCATTTTATGATAAGTAAAAATTTCACTGTCAATGTCAAAATCTTAAAATTTGACAATTAGTTGACAATAATCAGAACGTAATCAAAGATTTTTTTTCATATAACATTTCTGAGTATATTTTAAAAAAAGTGGAATGTTAATTTACAGCAGGTAACTATGTCCTCGCAACTAGAGAGCTGTAAGAAATTGATCCTTCCGAAATACTCACATTTTCCAGAATAACAAGTTTCGAGTGAAAGTTGGAAGAGCGGAGGAGGCAGTGGGTTGTTACCCATGTCTAATCTAGCTTAATCTAATCCTGAATTTGAAATATCAATTTGGATTTTTAGATTTAAAAAAAAAAACACGAACTTTCGTTTGTCGAAGTGATCACTTTGTTTTTTTACAAAATTAGTTTTTTTCTTTGATGTTATCCGACTTTCAGTCTTCTTATACCTAAATTAATCAAAAAAGCATAAGTAATAAAATCTAACAAATTGTCACAACAAATAAATAAGTATAATAAAAAAAATTATTTATTTTATTAAATATTTTCAAAAGAACAGGAAAAACATAATTAATTTTTATAATGATCATAAACAAAAAACATAAATAAATATTAAATTTTAACTATGAATGAAAATTAAAACTTATATATAAAATATAACAATAAAAAAATGAATAACCTTAAAATATTTTTCATTAAAAAAATCCCATTATAAGAAAATAACGAAACACAATGCAGCAATAACAATTAAAATCTAAATATCTCACCTTAAAATTCTTTTATTTCTAAGAAAAATTTTTAAATCTTACTTCTATACTTTATTTTCATATTTTTTTAGTTTTCAAACGCTTTTTTCCACTTTTACAATACACTTAATGTGAAAAATACAATGAAGTTGTGTATTTTAAATGCACTTTTAACTATAAATAGAATTTTTGTTACTTAATATTATATTTAACCTTTTTCTTTGCTACTCTATAATAGAATATTAGAAAAAATTTCAAATAATTTGCAAAAAAAAAAAACAGATAATAAGAAACTTGTAAAAAGACGTAATTACACAGGTAATTATTTCATCCGGAGTGCCCAGACATAATATATACTTGCATTGTTCATATATTATGCATATAAGATGAATGCATCATGTATACATATACAAAATTTAATATTCACATTTAATATTCACAACCTTTCATTTAATTTTCTCATATTTATCATTGTATAACTGTCATGAAAGTCAATACTTGCTAACTTAAACAATGGATGATTTTCCAAGCATTTGCTTTTAAATTTAAAAAGAATCTCGGAAACATTATTAATGGCAAAATGTAAATTTTATTTAATGCCGAATCGATTTTATTTAACCGATGCCGAATGCCCCATACAAACAATTGATTCGGCATATTTGTAAAAAAGAATCTATATTCTACTAGAAGTAACGAATCACAAAATCTTGACTGCCAAATAGAAGGTACAAAGAGTGAAATTAATTGGTCTCAATATATTAAGTGACTGAATTATTTAAATGAATCATCAACATGAAAATGCTTGCTCGGGCGCCAGTTTCTCCATTGTGAATTGGCAAGCCGAATTGATTTGGCATTCACATCTGTAATGAATTACTTGTGATATATTAAAAATAAAAATATGGAAAATTGAAATAACAAAAAAGTCACCCGTTTTTCACATGTGTATAACACTATTTTCTACTGTACTACAAACTATACAGACGTTGAGTTTATTATGACATAAAATCACATTTATAATTGTTTAACAACAAATAAATTAAATTAAGAGAATGTAATTTTGAATTACGTTTGCGGTGTTAGTTATAACAGCAGTATAACAGTACATAAATTAATTAATATTAAACTTAAATTATAAATTTCTTTTTTATTTTTTATTACAGTTTTGTTTTACGTTGCTATTTTATAAACAATGTGTAATATTAACCGAATAGCGAGGTTATTTTACTACTAAAATGCGATATAAATATGTGATACTTATATTACGTTCAACATATTAAGGTACACATACGTATAGGTACTTTTGTTTCAAGTACATTTATGTCTGTGAATCGGATGACGTATATCAGTATTTAATTTATTGCTAGTTTATGACGTCGAAAGTTCTCTTTTACAATACCCTTTAACCAAATGAAAATTTCGACAAATTTCCAAAAAGGAGCAAAGAAGTAAGTTCTACTAGTGTTTCTCATTGAATACGCAATGAAATAATATCCTGTCATGTATAATACATAAATGTATTAAATGTTAATTTATATTACATCAAATATATAAAAAACATTTAGCATAGCAAATTGAACTATGACTTTATTATCGAAATATAAAACTAAAATGTAAGATAAATTGAAGTAAATATAAAAAAAAATTTCAACCACAATATTGTGGTGTTGACAAATACACCTTGCGTATCTAAACGTTATATATTTGACATGAGTGACATTTTTTTTTTCTTTGACACTTAATATGAACAAATAACTTAACCTATATTTAGTATTTATGAACTAAACGAATATTTTGTAATATTTAAAAAAAAATAACGCAAAGATCAATGACAGGAATAAAAATTAAACAAAAAAAATTATTTTTCTGAAAATGACAACTTAAAGATCAAGATCTGTTCTTGGTTGCCGGGAACATTTTCTCCTTGTCTCGTTCTGACATTTATAGTTTTATAACAACTAATTTAACCCTTTTGAGTCTTTTTCAGTCTTTACACTCAAATATATGTTATGTCGAAATTTTTTGATGAAAAAGCGTCAGAAATTACAAATATGTAAATTGTTTTTATAAACCT